TAGTTATTGTTCAAAAGCATTCTTGACTGACATATGAAACAAAGAAATTTCCCGAGCAAAAGAACGGGCGGGTAATGGAATTATTCCGCAGTTGTCGGAAAAACTAAGCCTTTTTGATGTCAACATCATGAACCTAGAACATGAAAACAGAAGCAATGTTAGAAGTCTCATGGTTACAAAACAACTAAAAATGTGATGTAAATACCAAGCATACATATTAGTTGTGTTTCCCATCATGAAATTGAGCATTTCTAGATGACTTGAAGGTTTCCAAGAATTCTTTAGCCTTCTGTAATTCTTCCTTCTGCCTCGACTTGTCCCAGTTGTGCTCGGCAGCAAGTATCTGTATGATCCTAGGCATAGCCCTCCCGGCTGCATCAGTGTCAAGAAAGGCAAGTCGAGACCTTCTGGCAATAAAATCAACTGTAGATTCACAGTACTCATTCCGAGCACAGTATGCAACCTCGGCTTCTAGAAAAGGATATCCATGGGCAAGTCGCTTGCCCAGATTTTCATTCTGAATTTCCCACCCAAAAAATAGTAATTTAATGATCTTAAATAAACATCAAATTAGTAGTAGATTAATATATTTCCATCACATGAACAGAGAAATATGGCACAAAAAGATTGAAAATTCCATGTGCAAATCATTCACGAATAACCTGATCAGTGTGCGAAGGAACTTTACAAGAAAGCAACTATGCTAAAATATAAAATGATCATATTGTCAGTATATTTCATTGCAAATCTTTGAATTATAAAATTGCTTCAAACTATGCTCGTATCTGTGTGCAACTGGGGAGAGGAGTTTCAATTAAATGATTCTTCTAATCTAATATTTGGGAGCAGTCACTATTATCAAACATATAAGAATGAACAGTCCAATACATTCGTGGTATGTTTGCTAGTGAGGATTAGCTATCACTAAACATGCACTTTAGCATGTTTGTTATGCTGGAGTGGTGAACACGGGATAGGATAGGATTAAAAAAGAAAAACAAGTTAAAAGCTTGTTTGTTATCATGTGCGATATCGTCGAGTATTATGTACCAAATGCGCACTTGGTCCACTGCTACTTGGAATGTGATAAACAAGAAAGTAGAGGGAGGAGGGGTCAGAATAATCTCACAACTGAGGGATGCAGGTGAAAGCATATCGATAAAAGCACAAGAGCTACACAACTCAAGAAGCTACTAAAGAAAATATTGTAGAAAAGTAAATATGAAATAAGGCAGCACATCAAATATATGTGGAGGAAGAAGAGACCTGAGCAATTACAGCCACTCGTTCGGCGAAAGTACCATACGCATGAGATAAATGTTTCGCTGTGGCGGTGTCCATTACACCTGGCACAACCTTTCCGCCATACGACCTCTTCATGCGCACGTATTGCTGAGCTAGTACTGTGAAAGATGCAGGATCCCATCCATCAGCACCTATAAGCTGTAGGTTGTACGTTGAGCATTTATTGGCCGGGCTCAACTTTCCAGACTTCATAGCTGCATCAACGGCATCCTCTGCCATGCTGAAAGTGGTTCTAGTAAGCATATTACTCAAATGGAAAAGTTGACTATGAACCTGTTTTCCTATGCACAAAAAGCTCAAGTAAACAATTCAATTTTATAATAAATATTTTTTCACTGGTCCTGAAATAAGTAAGTTTATTATTTCAACACTAAGGTAACAGTTGCTCTTGGAACAAGTGATTTCATTTAGTTGAAGTAAGAAAAAAGTAAGTTATTCAAATATGTTACAAAACAAAAGTTAGTTTAAAGTAAATCATACTCTTTGTTAAGCTTACCCAAATGTGCCCGATGGAAGCTTTACCAATAGATCAAATATCAGTATCCTTTTTACAGCTTTAACAACCCAAAAAAGTTGACTGATAAAAAATTAATCACATTTTGAAACTTTTTTCACAATGCCCAATTAAGTTTACCTTCTATATGTAGTCCACTTTCCACCAGTAATCGTAACAAGACCAGGAAAATCTTCACACACGACATGATCTCTGGAGATGCTCTCAGTGTTCTTTGCTGCGGGATCCATAGCCAATGGACGAATCCCACTCCAAGCTGAGAGAACATCAGTGCGTCGAACCTAAATAATCGCAACAAAAATTAATCTCAAGGGCAGACATAAGTCATTGAGTGAGACAACATATAAATGGATAACATGAATCTCAAAGAAACAGTAAAATTTATCCAAGGAACACTACTAGTTATCCATTCTAGAATACGTGAAAGTGTTGACTC